ATATATATAGTAATTTATCTTCTTATACGGCTGGACGATTTAACTTGTTTAATAATCATTTTTTATTCAAGAAACATGTCAAAATATTTACCAATTCGATCATCGATCTATTATCAGTAATTCAATAATAATCAATAATTAGCCAGCCGTTTACGTTTACTGTGCGATCGAAAGTTCATGAAACAAACGTTGGTTAGTCTGTAAAGTGGTATCTGTCATTATTGGTAATTTTTATTAAATAAGCAATATCCAATCAATATTAAAAATTAACAACAATAATCAATCGATTCAAGAACTAAATCGTAATAGTTTACTAAACATAATCCGCCAATAAACAATCAATACAATTGATTATTAAACGATGATCAATATCCAACCGATGATCAATCGATAATCATTAATAAATAGATTATCAGTAACCAGGCCTAACCTCTGATTCAAAATCCGGGTTCAGAATATAAAAATAACTTTAAATAGATCTAGACTAACAGGTGTTCTAATATATTTAGATCTTCTAGCATGAGTAGGCTATCCTTTATCTTTATCATCATATTATATCATTATATTAACTGTTCAGATGTAGTCAAAACATATGAACCCTTATCCGAAACTAGTAATATCTAGTGACGTACAGTATAAAAAGCAGATAGTAGGCTTTGTAATTTTTGTTTATTTAACTGTCGATATTATGTCATGGTATTATCTACTATTCAGGGGTGATATTGCAGTCACCTGAACACCGAATTACCTGTTATTTTCATTGATTAACTCTCAGTGGTGTATGTTTACTTATTAACGGTATCACATTGGGCCGTGTCGGATGCAGTCATCTAGGCAGTTCTTTATCAGTCTAAAAGGTAACGTATTCTAATCCTGCTGATTGCACCGCTCATCTATCCGCTTACAGGAACGTATCCAATAACAGTTTGTATTCGCCTGCCTAGAATCGGCAGACAGTGACAGACCTAACTTGACGACAGCAGCGGTGCCATCGATTGAAAACGTGGCAGTGACACTGAGCCTTTAAAATACGTCATGCAATGGCCCCTTCAGTAAAGCCCTTGGACATTTTTTCTTAGGTCCCATAAAAAGTCGAGAGAAACGCACTGCACATAAAAAAATGGGTATGTTTTATGAGACATGCGCGTATTCCTGACTTTGTTCTGATTGCTCAGTTATTAAGTTTGATTTACACTCCCGAAAGATTCATTCACCGTTAACCTAATGGCTGGTGTAGGGTGTGTGTAATTCAAACTCAAGTGATTAACTTAACGACAGCAGTCGGAGCCATCGATTGAGGATGTGGTCAAATATACTAGGTCTTTTATGCGGTTGCATGCTGTTAATGGTCAGTGTGTGGGGGTGTGTGCGATTTGAAGTCAAGTGAGTGATCTGACATTCATCGAAATTCTTGTGGATGAGAAATTCTGTAGGCCTAATTAATTACATTTTTGAATAGTCTTTTCTGATTTTCATTTTTAAGTCAAATATAGTGGAATGAAACCATCTGTAAAGAGAGCCCAAAGTTTTTTTGTTTGTTTTGTTTTGTTTTTGCTTTTTTTTGTTTTTTGTGTGTGCGATATAATAGAGAAATTAATCAAAAATAGGAAATATAAGTCTGTACATTTTATAGCTCAAATATTACCAAGAAGTTTGGTTTGCATTTGATGGTTGACAACAACTTCACTTTTTTAAACTTCATTCCACTAAAGTTTAATAATGATAAATAAAACTAAAATGATATTTTGAAATCATTTATACTTTTTTTAATTTTTTTTTTTAGGCTTTTGTCGTCAATTAAGAACTTTCATTCATTCAGGTCGATAAATAATAAATCTTCTCTATCACTAGCATATTTGAAAAAAAACCAGTTGTTTAAACGAAGTGCCAACATTTTAACCAGGAATTAGACATAAAGAGGTCATAATACTTAGTTCAAACGACTTGCAAAATTCCATGCCAGGCAAGTCAATGATACATTTTACTTATGGCTGTGGCACGTATGAGCCACCGTATAT